GTAAATGACGAATACACTCGAGATAATCTTCCCAGTTCTATATATACACGTACTGTATATCATCAAGAAATCTTAATTGGCTCTTCGAGTTACTGTTTAGTAGATTCAGCACGGAAGTTCCCTTCAATACCAGTCGATGCTCGTTAGTATGCGTGGTAGTTGCATTGTTTACCTGTTTTTCTCTCATTTAGGAACGTGATATCACCGAAATGAATTGACCAGGCTTTACATGGTGGTGCCGTGGATGAATCAGAAGACGCATACCTTCCGAAACGCATGCTTTATTTCTTTGTACTTTTTCAGGATTTCCTGGATGAATCATTCTCCAAGATTCCGCCAAAAAAACTATGTAACACGGTTATCATACCTCAGAATGATTTTAATGTGGTTATATAGAATAAAAGGATAATGTGTTTGAGACATATTATCTCGATCATGAACGCGGTGTTAAGGAATTCCATTGATACTGTAGGCCAGAAGTAGGTAGGGTTAACGAAGATGTAGATATGGCTATCTTGATAAGCAGCTATTGTACTTTATCAGCTCAAATCTCGCTGACAGGTACAGTTGTACAGATTGGAGTATGCAAGGATAGAACAAATATCGTTCTGAGTATGGTCTTCAACTTATAGCAATAGCAACAGCAACAATAGCAAAAGTAATAGCAACAGTACGGACAAGCGAATTGTCAAATTTTCGAGGCAACCTGACCCTTAATCATGACACAAATATTACATAAATAACATCACACACATAGAAGATAAAACCAATACAAAGTTATAAATCTAAATCGAGAGCAGTGGTGTAAATTTAAGTGTCTCGATCATCCCTTCGGCCGATGGACGCCGAAGGCCCTTTATAGTGGACAAAACAAATTCCAATTCGTGTGAGAGTGTGTGTGCACGCGCGTGAAATATTGCATCAAGTGGAACATTAACCTTAACTATTATCTCATTATTAGATATATAGACTCGATCTGAGACTGACAGAACTTTCAGAACTTTGATTTGAACTGTATTGAACGCAACACTCCTTTATTAATCAGCAAATATTTCATTAAGGGTTGTGCCTTACACAATGAATCATAGCAACACCTTAATAACATAAGTTTTAAACAACAATCTCGATAAAACGCATGTTAGTATGACTATATCGTCTGTCCATACGTCCGTTATTATTTTCAGAGGCTTTATGAAAAAAATATAGCCTGTCCATATGTCCGTTATTATTTTCAGAGGCTATATGAAGAACAATATCGTCTGTCCATACGTCCGTTATTTTTGGTCAGAGGCTTTATGAAGAACAATATCGTCTGTCCACACGTCCGTTATTTTTGGTCAGAGGCTTTATGAAGAACAATATCGTCTGTCCATACGTCCGTTATTATTTTCAGAGGCTTTATGAAAAAATATAGCCTGTCCATATGTCCGTTATTATTTTCAGAGGCTTTATGAAGAACAATATCGTCTGTCCATACGTCCGTTATTTTTGTCAGAGGCTTTATGAAGAACAATATCGTCTGTCCATACGTCCGTTATTTTTGGTCAGGGGCTTTATGAAGAACAATATCGTCTGTCCACACGTCCGTTATTATTTTCAGAGGCTTTATGAAGAACAATATCGTCTGTCCATACGTCCGTTATTTTTGTCAGAGGCTTTATGAAGAACAATATCGTCTGTCCATACGTCCGTTATTTTTGGTCAGGGGCTTTATGAAGAACAATATCGTCTGTCCACACGTCCGTTATTATTTTCAGAGGCTTTATGAAGAACAATATCGTCTGTCCATACGTCCGTTATTTTTGGTCAGAGGCTTTATGAAGAACGATATCGTCTGTCCACACGCCCGTTATTATTTCAGAGGCTTTATGAAGAACAATATCGACTGTCCATACGTCCGTTATTTTTGTCAGAGGCTTTATGAAGAAAAATATCTTCTGTTCATACGTCCGTTAATCTTTTCATAGGCTTTATAACGAAATTTGGGTGTGACCAACCCATGTTTCCAGATATGCTGAGATACTCACGTAAATAGGCATATTTGGATGATGAGTCTAATTGAACTTTCTTGTCATTGGTTATTTCCGTTTTTACTTATGTAATCATACTTTACTAAGACGTAATGACGGGGTTTTAGTGAATCACGGATACAATACACGTGATAGTGTAGCAATTTTAATTCGGCGGGGCTAACTCCAGTACTAATAGCTTGATACGAAGCGTCACAACATCTGTCACGGTTTGGAACAACATCTGTCACGGTGTGGAACGTTTTATGTGGTCTCTAAATATCCCACAAACATTTTTATCAACACAGCCCCCTAAAGTCCTATGTTCCGACTATTTATCCGCCATTCCATGTCTTGTTTCTAGAACTACATGGATTAACAATTAAGGAAAAGTTATGACCAAGAGTGGCATATGCTTCCGTCGAACCAGAACACGTCGATTATCAGACAGGCTTATTCAGAGAAAACAATGTATAATCATGAATGGTTTTCATTGTAAATACATGCTGAGAAAATACGCGCTGAATTTTATATATCCAACTAACTTATGATAGAAAGGAATGTTTAAAGCTTGCATAACTACTCTACAGAAAAGATTTTAGAAAGAACAGTGGTAATTAATGGTTATTTTATAGTTTTTTTTATACGCGATAAGTTCTCATTAAAAATACACATATGAATGCACATAGAGAAATTGTTAATGTTTAAGAAATGTCACAAACACTCATATACCCCTGGAATGTAATTGAAATAGCTTGTGTCCAAATGATGCCGCTTCAGTGTAACTGCTTTACTGGCGCTTAAGTGGCTGATCGTCTCTGGACACAGTAATATTGACCTTTAGTCCACTGGAGTGACTTTTTTTCAGACACATTTCTCTTAGACTTGTGCTAGTAATCTGCTGCTCGTGATAGACACAAAGATTCTGCTTCTATACTTCGGCTGGTTTCCAAAGGTTAGAAATCTGTTCTTCTGGAATTTTGGAAATGTTTGTAAATACATCTGAACTATGTACATTTTAAAACTAGCTGCATTGCTAGGCATGTACATATACACACACGTTTGCTTTGGTTAATCAAACAAACGTTTCCTGTCCATGGAAGACACATGAGCTCGCAAACTGGCCGTCGTGTTATTGGCTATGTTTTACCCACCTTACCCAAGGGAGATAAACCGTACATGTTTGGTGTCCTGGCAAAATAATTATCTTTACCATTTGGATGTTTTCAGTCACCAGTCTATAAATACCTTGGACGTACAACACAGGGGAATGGTGCTTTACTGCAGCATCTGGCAAATTTAAGTCCCAGTTTCATTGGAAAGGGGAATTATGTCAAATGGACCGTGGGTTGGGAATTCTGCCAAGCCCGCACAGCACTACCCAAATCCCGCTTGAACCTGGCTGCTGAAAGAGTCATGTACCTGGTGCTATTTACCAATTGATATTATGCACGTGATAGAGGCCAATTTAAATATTCCAAAACATTATCTTTACAGAGCAGCAGTGAGGGTACACGACAGTTGGTACATGTAAATTACATGTAGAAAATTGGAGCATTAAACAAGGAAATCTTACGTTATTAAAATATTTGTAACTTGATAATTTGATTTGAGTTTCAGACGTTGAGAAAATATATTGGAAGTTAATACTGGGAAAGTGTTGTGGAGTGCTCATAACATATAAACGTAAGAAAATTACATACTAATATCATAGTGTCAGATATTACTCCATTCTTTGTCTTATGTGCTTTGGTTTAATATTCAATTTATCGCCAATGAAATTTAGGATTTTTTATAACCACACATAAAATAACGTTCCTTTGAAATCTGATTGTCTTTAATATCAATTGTTTAAACCATTATCAGTCAGATGGAGGAGGAAATTTGTATAACTACCCTATTTAACCTCTGTATTGTGCTTGTCATAATGTTGTGTAAAGGAGATATAGAGCTTTAAATGTTCATGTATGGTGTGTCATTAATATATACTTGACATAATCCTTTGAAAGCAAGATTCTTGAAGCCATGGACAATCCAATTGTATTTAAACGATGCCATAGATGGGGCCATATAATAAGTATCTGTGACAAACTAGAGTTGCAATCAATCAGGGTTTTTGATAAGAATGTTCTTTGGAAGCAAATCCCAAATCATTGACTTGACAAATCATTTAGCTTTTAAACACTGTTAAGTAGGGAGTTGGACAGGTCTTAACAAAATAAGATGGAGTTCCTCTCCTTATCAGTAAATATTAAAATGAATGCACGACTCTTATGCCACTATCACTAATATGTCCTTCAGTTTAGTACAAATGGTTTTAAATGCCTGAAGAGCAAGAATAATTTTCAACAAGTTTCCAATGTAGTCCAACAACGAAATTGGACAAAGTCAATGTATAACTTTTCAGTCGGTGACAAGATGTGAATGGTTTTTAGGCATCAGATCAGCTAGTTTGGATTCAGGTGTGACAACAAGGCGAAAACACCAGCTTTAATGTATGTGTAGTAAATGGACATTAATCTCATTTGGTACAACTAGTGCATAAACATTGGTGTCATCTGTAAGAATATCTGCACTGCATACAAATAACATTGACTTGTAAATCAAAATACACGAAATTAAATACTAGTTTATCATCCTGATGATCCCAACCATTCCCAATAACTACTCACCATCACTATAGCATAGGTTGGGTGACAAAAAAGCATTACGATGGGGACATACCAACCTGATGTAAAACATTTGTTGGTGTTAAGACTTTGACTAGTAAAGGTCTCAGTGTAAATAGAGGACAAAGAAATGAGTTGTTCACTTATTTTAAGTTACTGATATTAGACCCAGGAGTTATCATAAATGTTCTTCCTCTAACAGGATTTCAATGCTCTTATCAAAAGGATGAAATTTAGTAAAAGCAGACAAGAATCTTTGGATAATGTTAATCAATACACTATGATGAGTGGACCCACAAATAATCGAGAAAACAAAAGGAAATGTTGCGGTTGATGAATGGTTCCTTTACTAGAAAGTCCGCTTTATACACAATGGCATCTGTACTCACATACAGACAATTATGAGTTAATCACAGAAGGTGCCTCATCCAAAGGCTATGTTTGACTAATGTTTGTATACACATTATGTTTCTTCAATAGACACTGAGCAATATCTATGAACTTCCAACATGTTTCAGTTTTCCACAGACACACCAAGTGTTTCTTCAATCTGTTGATACATACAGTGTTTCTTCCACCTTTGGACACAATGTTTCTTCTTGCGAGGACACAAACTGTTTTTATCCCTGGACACAGCACTTTTATCTGTGGACACGGGAGGTATTTCTTTCATCTGTGGACATACCAGATGATTCTTCAATGCATGGCCACAGTATGTATTTCTTCCAGTTAGACATACAAAGTGTTTCTTCCATCCATGGACACAAGAAATGTTTCTCCCAGCTATGAACACATGAACTGTTTCTTTTAACTTTGAACACATGAAGTGTTACTTTTGTCCATGAACACATGCATCATCTCTTCTATTCAAGAAAACTTCAACATAAACACAGTCATTGGTCATATTTTGGTCTAGAAACACTGTCATAATAAAAGCTCTTCCATCTATAGACAACTGAGATGCTCTTTCTATAGACATTTTCTCTGCAGAATCATAGGACATCTATTAACCTACAAAGGGAGCTGCTATTAAGTGGCTTTGTCTCTGTTGAAACCATTAATGTCTATCCAAGGACACACCAGGTGGCCCTTTAAAAGGCTTGTAACAAATGATCCCCAATTTTCACCACTTTCTGTCCTCCTATTACAGAGTTTACGACTGATGTCCAATAGCTTTAAAATGGATGGCGGTGTTACCTGCGAATAAATTATCATAAGATGTGATTATTTATGGTAGTAAGAGTGGAATAATTTACAGGAGCCACCAGTTGCCATGGCAACTGCCACAAATCCTCATCAATTTACACAAGCACCAGTGCCTATTATAACTTCCACAAATTCTTATAAAAACAGGGGGTACCAGTGCCAGAAATATCTTAAGTAAATAGTAATTAAGTACTGAAGGCATCAGTAATACTGTATCAATCAACAGGATGTACCATACACCATGATGAAATGGTCACAAAATCACTATTGGTATTAATTAGTGGCCCTGTTCCATCTGCCACAAATAAGTTTTTATGCTTTAATAGAATTTTCCAAAAGAAATTATGACATCATAGCAAAATGTATGACCATTTAAAATTCCAGTGCTTATGATCACTTGATGTTGTAATTTATTATAGCCTTTGAAATTTCAGAGATCATAAATGATGTTCATTTAAATTTTGACAATCAATTATGATCAAGTTTATGACAAGCACAAGAAACAAACTTACTCGCATGGAAAAAATACAGCCTCCATTCTTCAGATCTGATGGCAATGCATTGAACACGATATTGTCTGAAATTAACAAACACAGGACCATGATAGCAGATCAGTAATACAATATGACAGAATAAAATTTTAACCTAAGTAGGAATTATGATTCCCTTAATTATCAGAAACTACTGTTCATTTTAGTGTAAGTTGATCTCACTCAGTAAAATGGGTATTATTCATTATAGAGAATATTCAATAAGATTACTATACAAATCATTGTGAAGATAAATTTAGTCCTGTTAGCACTATGAATGTATTACACAATACTGTGAAGACCAACTTAACACTGAGAGAGCTAACTTCACACAGTGTGAAGACAAACTTTACACTGAGAGACCTAACTACACACAGTGTGAAGACCAACTTAACACTGAGAGACCTAACTACACACAGTGTGAAGACCAACTTAACACTGAGAGACCTAACTACACACAGTGTGAAGACAAACTTAACACTGAGAGACCTAACTACACACAGTGTGAAGACCAACTTAACACTGAGAGACCTAACTACACACAGTGTGAAGACAAACTTAACACTAAGAGACCTAACTACACACAGTGTGAAGCCAAACTTAACACTGAGAACACTAATATACACAATGTTGTGAAGGTGTAACACTAATATACACAATGTTGTGAAGGTGTAACACTAATATACACAATGTTGTGAAGGTGTAACACTGAGAGCAGATCAGATCAGATACTGTAAGGTAAATAAACAGACAGCTACAAGAAGTACGAATATAACAATCATACAAAATCCAATGACAGAATTACTGAAGGGGTTAGTCATTTCATTACTGAAATTTGTAAGAATTCAGGTAAGAAATTGACCTCGATTTTGAAACTGAGAAAGTAGTAAAAACCCGTAAGAGGTAAGCATACAGTGCCTCATAAACAACTGGTGAATTATAAATCCATAACCTCAGTCCTATGTGTGAAAGAAAACATACCTGTTACACTTTTAGGATGTAGGAGCCACAGAAAGACTGTATGGACTGGGAAATGATTGAGAAAGTGGACAATACTGGTCAACAAGCCATGGACCAAAAGTGTAAGTAATCGCAGCTGTGAATTCAAAAGTGAAGCAGTCTTTACCATTACAGCATAACATCAAAGTCAATTTACATCAGTTCATCACAAAAATGGTATGTTATTGGTGATAACACCTGTCATATATTTTCGTTTATCAAAAGAAAGAATGTTATGTCACTTACACGAAGATTTCATTATGATTTTGCAATGAAGACAAAAGATACAGACCCATGATGATGGCAAGAATGACAGAAAAAAAACAACTTTACCCTCAATTTTTAAAAAGTTTTGAGAATTTAATTTAAAAAAATTTTATTTCCATTTCATATCAGGTAATTTTTGAAAAAATTCTAAATTTTTCATTTATATCTTCAGTAAGTGAAAATGAACTCTTAAATCAGTTTTCCTAGGAAATTGAAATTGGCATGAGCTTACATATCATATGAGAATTTATCGAACAAATCTGATAAGCATGTTTCTTTCAAATTTACCAAATTAATATTATAAGTCATTGATTTTGTAAAACTGATATATTTGAAACTGTGACAGAAAATATATAATTGACCAGAGAGGCTATTCCTATAAACTGAATCAAAAGCTGCAGATGAACATTGTAATTGAGGCTCAATCTTGATCTGTGAACGATAGGCATACAGCCTAAACTTTGTTCAATACTGGTTAACAACATTAGTTACTTACCAAGGTGAATACAGTATAGTACAACATTGTGGTTGGCAGCATGAACAGAAGGATAGTGAATAGCAATGTTCCAATAAACAGCTGGTCTACATCAAAGGAGCTGGAATCAACACGCTGTCGCAGTGTGTTCCACTTTTTACCACGGAACAGTCTCCAAAGGGCTGATAATGTGTATACTTGCAAGCGGTAAAGCCTGACAACAAAAAAGTAGTATTGGAAATCTTTCAGTTATTGCGAATATGAGAGAGGAAATAGATATAGTATTCATAAAACTATGAATGCTAATGAAAATAATCAATTCAAAGTGTTGATTCAATTCTGGTTTAATTTAAGGCCTCTTTGTAAATGAGAAGTTGTTGAAATTATAAACAAGCTGACAATGACAGTCTTCATACCTATGCATCACATTCTGGACAAGAAACCCAGGAATTTCAAGGATAGGAATCAGCTTACTTGCCCTTCAAGCAAGTGAGCAAATAAATAAAAAAAAAAGTCATCAATTGCTTTCTCCAACATATATGAGGTATTAATATTCTCTTCATATCAATTCCTACCAGTATACACTATGTAAGAAATTCTAGTGCTAACAGGTTTTGTTTTATTATTACTCACCTTGCAGCATAAACATAGAAGCAGTAGACATGCAGTGTCATCATGGAGAAAACATCCTGAAGTACACACAGCTGGGATGTCACACCAAGTACTCCCACACACATCAAGTACCACAGTACCCCGCTGAGGACAGGCTTCAACAAGTACAGGTAACCTAAAACACAGGTTTCAAATAGTACTCTAACACAAAAACACAGACACATTTCTGGTCACCTGAAACACAGACAAAGTTCTGGTCATCTAAAACACAAAACACTTCTGTATGGTAATCTACAACATGAATACACTTTGATAGCCAAGAACACAGACCCACTTCTGGTCAACTAAAACACAGAAACACTTATGCATGGTCATCTTAAACATGAAAAATGAGACTCTGAGATGTGTTTAATATATATCAAAGGATCAAACTAATCTTCTTGTTTTACCCACAAAGTGTCACACACAGAACCCTCAATTTTGCCATGAATTATTCCAGGGAGTATAAAGGGCAATAGTGAGCATAACCCCTAAGTATTTAGGATGTATTCACACTCATATTTACAAGAGGAGATGGAATACAAAAGAGTTAAAATCCTGAAACGCCACCTTCACAACTTAGGTAAGTAGATTCCTACACTGGATATCCATTTTCAGCACGTAGATGTGATATAAGTGCATGTGAATTTATATTGTTGCAGTGTAACTTTCCACAGGTAGGATTAATATAAGTGAAATTTCACCATTGCAACAAACTTCCCCACAGGAAGGTGTAACATCAAGATTCCCACCACTGAAACTCACCTTTCCACAGGTAGATGTGATATAGGAAGAAATGACCAAGGTACTGAGTGAGCTGACTGTTTAATTTGAGTCCGGCAGGAACTCCCATCAACCACTCCAGCAGCAAGGACAGGCTGTCAGCTGTTTGCTGTCAATGTAAAATCATACTGTTTCGAAGGGTTTTAGAAAAACTTGTATAATCAGGACTAAGAGAACAGTAATACTCCACAGGATTGGTAAAGACGTCGCTGGATGATAAGTGTTCAAGTATAAATTATGCTGTAGTCAAGTTGTATATGCAAAGAAGCAGAGGCATACAGTATTACCAGTGAATATGTCTACATCGGAATATACAGTATTACAAATGATTGTATCTACACAGATGATAGGGTATTACAAATGATTGTATCTACACAGATGATACAGTATTACAAATGATTGTATCTACACAGATGATAGGATATTACAAATTATTGTATCTACACAGATGATACAGAAGTACAGGTGACTATGTCTACTCTGGAGGATACCTTTTACAGTTGATGTTTTCAATGCAGGAGGATACAGGTTACTATACACAGCAGATACAGTTTACAGGTTACTATAAACAGCAGGATACAGTTTACAGGTAACTATACACAGCAGGATACAGTTTACAGGTTACTATACACAGCAGGATACAGTTTACATGTTACTATACACAGCAGGATACAGTTTACAGGTTACTATACACAGCAGGATACAGTTTACAGGTTACTATACACAGCAGGATACAGTTTACAGGTAACTATACACAGCAGGATACAGTTTACAGGTAACTATACACAGCAGGATACAGTTTACAGGTAACTATACACAGCAGGATACAGTTTACAGGTTACTATACACAGCAGGATACAGTTTACAGGTTACTATACACAGCAGGATACAGTTTACAGGTTACTATACACAGCAGGATACAGTTTACAGGTAACTATACACAGCAGGATACAGTTTACAGGTAACTATACACAGCAGGATACAGTTTACAGGTAACTATACACAGCAGGATACAGTTTACAGGTTACTATACACAGCAGGATACAGTTTACAGGTTACTATACACAGCAGGATACAGTTTACAGGTTACTATAAACAGCAGGATACAGTTTACAGGTAACTATACACAGCAGGATACAGTTTACAGGTTACTATACACAGCAGGATACAGTTACAGTTTACTATACACAGCAGGATACAGTTTACTATACACAGCAGGATACAGTTTACAGGTAACTATACACAGCAGGATACAGTTTACAGGTTACTATACACAGCAGGATACAGTTACTGGTTTCTATACACAGCAGGATACAGTTACAGTTTACTACACACAGTAGGATACAGTTTACAGGTAACTATACACAGCAGGATACAGTTTACAGGTTACTATACACAGCAGGATACAGTTTACAGGTTACTATACACAGCAGGATACAGTTACAGTTTACTACACACAGTAGGATACAGTTTACAGGTAACTATACACAGCAGGATACAGTTTACAGGTTACTATACACAGCAGGATACAGTTTACAGGTTACTATACACAGCAGGATACAGTTACAGTTTACTACACACAGTAGGATACAGTTTACAGGTTACTATACACAGCAGGATACAGTTTACTATACACAGCAGGATACAGTTTACTATACACAGCAGGATAGTTTACTATACACAGCAGGATACAGTCTTACAAGTGAAAACATCTACAATTCTATTAGGGGATACAGTATTACAGTTTATTACAATCATGTAATGTCACTTAGATCATGTACCTACATCTGCCCATGATGACACTGATGCCGCCATGATATCAGTGATATTACTTTGCATCAGAAAATACATCACAGCTACACCAAGCACAGTGTCAACCATCTGCCTACTGAGAGCATCCATACACCTGTAGCAAAACAGTATAACACATTATTGATTTGTATAAATCATTGTAGGGAAGAAACCTATTACAGAACTATGCTTCCCATGAATTTTGTGCTTTAAATTTAATCATGCTAAATACAAGAGTTACTTCAGTTACTAAATGCTGATTAGCATGTGTTACCGGTCTATTCTTTCAACCTTTCTTTTACAATAGCAACATCTATTTGATTTTCAAATACTGATACTCCATCGCAGGAACATCCAAATTGATCAAAATTCAAAGCCATCAACAATCAGAAAACCTTTATACATAAAGCAGCACCAGAAATGATGTTATATGACAATAAACCAAGAATGTTTTTAAGCTCAATGACTATAGATGACGGCCATAGAGCCTGCGTTGCTCACTTGGTTAGGTCACAATTGAATTGTAACATCCAGGCTGAAGGAATAGGATTTTAAATGCTTATCTGTATTTCCCCTTTTGACTACAGGACTACAGAAGGAGAATTTTGAAGATTTTACCCCAGTTTCTCCTATTGGGCCCTATCCTTCAACACCATGCAGTTATACCATCATTTCTGATTTTTTTAAACAAAATTGAAACTCCTCCACTGAATGATGTTAAGATAAAATTTGATTACAATCCCTTCATTCCTACAAAGGCAGGATTTTAAAGTGTTACCTCTATTTCTCCAATTCTACATCACGTTTCCTTCCCTCAGGCCCCAGGGTTCAGACCCACTTTCATACAAAACTGATTTTGATTCCTCCAAGGATACTTCTGACTAACTTAGGTCAAAATTTCCTACTGTTTGCATGTTCCTGAGGTGTTGTGGTATGGATGTTATTCTTGTGTTGTATGAAGTAATAGACTTGGTAGTTTGTATTGTAACGTGAATTTATGCAGTACTGTTTATAGTTCATACTTTATTTGCACTATTTGTGTACCTGAAGTGTTGAAGTCTAGTGGATTTCTCTTGTGTCACCTGTTCATTCAGTTTACAGCGAATAGACAGATGGTGAACAAAGGCTGGTGTGTTCAGGACTTGCTGCACAATGCCATACCGTTGAATAATCCTACAAAGCCAATATCAACACATACAAATAAAATACATGGTTACAAGTAACAGATAATAGTGGTCAAAAATTTAACATTGAGCACTGTCACCATCATTCCTAAACCTTGTATCATTCATGCATACTTTTACATATATAGCTACCATGATACAGTATCAGGACTTACAACACGACTACATTTAGTAAGATTTTATTTTGATAAAGGCCAATGAGGGTCTACAAAGTTCAAATTTCACAACCCTATAGATGGAGTGTTCTTTAGCATCATCTGATATCATCATTGATTTATAAGATATTTTGCTAGGTTTTTGACCAAACCAAAGGCCATCATAATGCCAATATTTTTATATCATCACACTTTTGTTCCATTTTGATGTCATAAATTTTGTCATGTAATACAGATGTAAAATATATGTGTTCTTCATATGTGTTTTAAAACATTATATCATACTGCACACATCGATAGACGAGAAAAAGCACAACTTGTTGCAATAAACAGATATTGATTTTTACATTTGTCATATTTACAGAATGTAACAGGTAACTTAATAGATCTAGATAAGAAATAAGGTTATACAAGTACCAGAAAAAAATATACAAGTACCTGTTATCAAAGACTAGCTTAACAAAACGGAATAGTCCAAAAATCCATATTAGACCTCTGATCAATACATTGGTTAGTGATATCCAATTTTCTTTGCAGGCTGATTTCATGTTCTGTGGAAATTCCTGTATGTAATTTATAAGAGTTTGTATTGTGCCTGTCCTTAATGTTCCTCGGTCTGCAATGATCTCTCTACTTGTTATAAAATAGGATTTTACAAGGTCCTCAGGACTATAGATGATGCAACTACAAACCACTGGACTCTTTCCAATCACAACATCACATTGCAGCTGTCCAGACAAGGACTTGTTTAAATACACAACATACTCTTTGGTCTTCTTTTGATCATTTGCTGATGTATATGATGGTTCCCATCGACCAATGATATCTGCATTGGTTGATTCTGATGCTTCCCATATCCCTGATATATAAACAAGTTTCAACTGTTCATTAAGCTTCCCACAAAGCTGACCTTTGGGAGACATAAGAATCTGGTATGGAACAAAGACTTTCCAAATGTCCTTCTGGTCTGTCATGTTTGATTTTCCTGTCAAAAAAAATGAAGAAATTCAATATCGTTGGTTATGAATAAACAGGTTACCATACTTACTATATATCAGTAATCCTGAGAAATTTTGGTCCAAATAAATAGGTCCTTTTTTAAAACATTTTCTTCAGGTTGGTAATGTCAATCAAAAAGAAGATCTTCTAACACAACCAGCAGAAGATTAGAGCATAAAATTTCAATGACTACATAGTCACCTTCATCAGACAAATGACCAGTATGGAGCATACTAGCACTGACGTACGTAGTGCACAAGATAGTAAGGAATCAACCAACTTTTTCAGCTGTACTATAATCCTATGTACACCAAGATAAAAAAAAAAATCTGTATGATCATAGACAGATTATAGACCAAACAAGATGAGTTTATGAAACACTATGCCATTAGTTGCAATAAAATTCTTAGACGCGACATTAAAACTGTACTGTGTAAAGCATGTGTTAATTACGTGCACACATTGTGAAACACTTATGTCCTCATTATGGTAATGACTTTTAACTTTCAAATGCAGGTCAAAGGTCTTGTCACAAGGAACACACATGCCAAATATGAAAGCCCTGCTTCTTACGGTGCAATAGTTATGGGCCAAGTTACTGTTGACAACAGACAACCAGCACACAAACAATATGCCCCCAATCTTGCGAGGCATAAAAATACACAAGAAGGTAACGATGTACAATAGTCAATTCAGCTACGAATACACTCTGTTTAACATGTAGCCATAGATGTGCGAGAGTCTGTGACCCCCTCATCCTTGTTTAGTACTGACTCACTGTGACGTATCCACAATGGTCATTTTGCTTATCTTCTGCTGGTTGTGTTATAAGAACTTACATTCCATAAATAAAGAGGTCGTATTATGAAATGAAAACATTGCCAGTTTTCACAATAAAAAATATCTGTAACAGATCAGTTTCATTATATGTACATTTTACTTCACTGTCGCCAACCTCAGTATTCATCTAAATATCTAATAACAGCCCTTTAAAGTCAAGAGTTAATAGGTGTTTCAAAGGATCATCAAAGAAAAATACATGATACATTTTAATCTACATTAATGTATTCAGCTTATTGTTTATGTTATATGTTGAACATTATTTTGATTATATTAATAGATCCCAAAACTGCTTTTTAAATACTGATCATGAAGTAAGAAATATCTGGAAACTTTAGCATTTCCCTTGATGTAAGCAGGGACATATATATGTTATACACGTCCCTGATGCAAGCTAGTTCTGATTTGGCCAAGATCAAGCCAACATGGCAAAATCATATGGCTACACTCATATCTACAGAAATTGGATCTAGATTGTGGCCTGTCGTGACAGGTTGTTCTGTTAAAGTATCTAATTGGTAATTAAATTTCATGATACTATTTTGTCTATTTACTCAGTACATGAAAAATACACGGTCTCATTTTTGCTGATTTCTATGAGTCTCAGCGGCATTCCAAAGTGATAATTTCCTACTTTACAGCCAGTATAGATGTAATGGAAAGGAGTAATGAAAATGTCATTCCCAACTGGGACTCGAACTACACGTAGTAATCTTTCGAATACCCAATTTTTCGACTTGTGTGGGTAAAATACTCTTCGGTATTCAACTCTGAAAAGTAACAGAGCATTGGAGCAAATTACGTTATATGTGTTCACTGCATTATTTCAAAGTAATGTCTTACATCTACATGCATTAGACTATATTTCCAAGCTCTTCTGACAACTCATCTCGTATCCCACGCCTGAATTACCGGGTACAGCCCGAGGAGTTACGCATAAAAGGTATTCCGAAAAATCAAAGTCGTAGTCCTAAAAGTGTTTTGTACTCCGTGTACTTGCGTTTGAAAGCGTTCCATATTTATAAAGCGTTTGAAAGAAGTGAGACGATCGCGAGTAATATCCACGTTTCCAGGTAAAAACAATATGATCACTAAAGATGTTAGTTTAAGCGGTGTTCAGACGAATAGCTGTCTTAATTCGTGTTGTTTGAGTACAGTATGTTCATCAAAGTTTGTACTTGTTTCACAAATCATTACTACGTAATTTGTTCTCTGCGAGGAATCGTTCTTCTCTGAACAACTTAAACACCGACAGGCAAATCAGACTGACAGGTGCATTGTATCGATCACTGTCTATACATTGGGATCGATACATCACATTTACATTGTATATATGTTGACGATATATGTACATACTTACTTAGTGACACTAAGTTATTCATTCATTCTCCACTCTACAAAGCAATACTTCACAATAATTGTTATATACCGTCTGAAATTTTATTTTATTTCCGTCTGCATACATTTATGGCTCATGTTTGAATGATTAACTATTAGTTAATTGATTATCAGAATCATTGGCCTCAATAGCGGGCATGTTTGTAGATTTTGATTATCATTTTATGTATGATAGAGATGTATACTCTGTTAATGACAGGTTATTAGCAGATAGTATGTTCATATTTATGATTAATCAGTACAGCTAAAGTCAGAGACCTCACCTGACTTTCAACACTTAATACATGAATTGAGAGTGAGCATAGTCCAATTTAAAAAAAAAAGTGTTACCATGGACAACCATTCAATTTTTAATTCTCTCTTATTTCTATTTCAGACATCTAAACTCTACCAAGATGTCATGTCCTACAGAACTGTCAAACTATCAAGATCTAAGCTCTACATTCAAAGGCACCGCTGCAGCATTCTTATATGGCACTTGCTCCGTCTCTATGGCATTCATAAATAAAACATTAATGACCACATTTGAATTTGACTTTCCTGTCTTCATCATGGTCATGCAAATGCTTTTCACAATCTGTGTCTTAGAACTTCTCAGCATTTTAAACCTGATACAATTACCTAAATACACACTGCAACGTGGTAAGATGTTTTCTCTTCCAGCTTTGTTTTATGGTGTGAATTCCATTTTGGGACTCAATGCTCTGGGTTATATGAATGTTGCAATGTATGGAGTGTTAAAACGATGTGTACCATTGGCAACAATGTTTCTTTCTGTGCTGATTTTGAAAAAGGGCTTCCCTTCCAGACCTACCATTGCTGCAGTACTCCTCATCACTGGAGGATGTGTTATAGCAAGTAAGTGACTTAAGCATTGCAGTTTAAACTGGCATTCAATGTATTTCATATTTAGAATTGGAAAAATCTATGATGCACTAGTTTTGTTTTTTTTTTACCACATGTCTACTTACATCCACCTGTGTACTTATGTTCATAATATGAATGTTATATAAATGTGTACATGTGCTCTCAACATTTTTATGCCCATGCTATTTTATGGGCAGGGTTTAGTGTTAAATGTATGTGAAGTCTGTTTGTCCTGTTTTATATTTTGAGAATCTCTCAGTAGATCTGGTTCATATTTACCCATTAGTAATATAACATCTAGATTTGCACCAGAACAGATTATCATTTGCATAGGTATGGGTCATTTATATGTGACAGATATTTTAGTTTACATAACCTTCATGGAATTAGGCTTGGTAACACATTTAATATGTATTCAGAACTGACATATTTATCATGACTAACACTGAAGTTGATTTTGTAGGCTATGGTGACCTGAAGTTTACTGTGTATGCATACACTTGTGGTGCCTTAAGTAATTTGACCCACTCACTGTACCTGCTGCTTGTTCAGAAAGTCACAGAAAAGGACTTGAGTACTGTTGAAACCCTACAGCTCAACAGCTTCAACACTCTACCTTTCCTTGCTGCATACAGTGTTTTCAGTGGTGAGTTTAATGAGGTGATGCAATATGACCAAGCCAAGAACATATCCTTCATGATGCTGTTTTTTGTGACTATAAGTATAGGGTGTATGCTAAACTACTCGCTGTTTTTATGTACAAGTTTAACGTCAGCATTAACTACAAGTGTTGTTGGTGGGGTGAAAGCTCTGACGCAGACAGTGTTTGGGATGTTTACATTTGGCGGTATCAGTCACAACATGTCAACATACATTGGAATCACAATCAACACCATGGGAAGTATAATGTATCTGTATACTAAATACAGGGAAGGCAAACAACGAGTAAGTATGGGCGGAGCACTACACAAAGTCATCAGTGTATCAACTGCTGAAGATTTCAAAGAACTTGCTAATGGAAAAATCAATGGGAATGGAAACATTCAATATTTAAAAGAAGCACTAAGCCCTAAACTGCATCCTATAAAAGAGGAATACTCTGACCATGGTTCAACAACAGATTCTTCAAGGCCTTCTTCAGTAAGCTGACAACTAGTCATGCATCAGAAATACAACTGGGTATGGCATCAATGTGTAAAAAACTGAAAAGAAAACATTTCATTTCTACATCTATTGGTGCTGACCTTTTAGTAATAATGAACATTTTCATGGTAATGTTTTCATTGAAGTTACATATCCTTATTTTATTGAAGCAACATTACCTTGTTTTAACTCTAAAACTGTTTTTATGGAATTTGGTCATATTTTTTTTCATCCCTCCTCTTTCGTTATTGTATTGCATAGATGAATATATCTTGGATATTTCAGTTAGGTATATGACTGCATCTCAGGAGATTGAAAAATCACACACACTTCATATCCAGAGACAGTGGGCTAGATTTTTCTGTCCATTCCAGTGTATCACTAACCTTTACAAAACGTTTAATGCGATCAAGTTGTGTTTCTGTTGAATGACAGACATGCATGGACTTGGAGATATGAATAATTGATATATTTTAATGTTATATTGACAAAATTATTTTGTGGAAAACCAGGCTGTGATTTGTACTCCAAAAATTAACTTTCCCAATTTTCTTCCTATTGCAAATGTTAACCCTCTCACAGGAACATTCGAGTGTTCAGTTTGACAATGCTGTGATTGGTGCACAGACATACAATTACATTTCTATATGAATACCACTATTTAGCAGGAATAATTTCAGTGAGTCTATGTTTCATCCTCCACTGACAATCTGTAGGTGAGGCCTATATGGCAACAGTTTTACAAAATTTCTATGTAGTCTCAATTTTAGATCCTTTTATAATCCACCACAAGGCTCACAAAAATAAAAACTTCTGTGACGAGTTTCATAAAATCATATAAAAAAACTTCTTTTCACATAGCACGGATAGGTTACATTTAGACAGGATGTGATGTTATAATATGGACAGCCATTTTGTTGTCAACAATTCAGTTCATGATGTAACATCATTGCCTGTATTATGACATCACATTCAATTATAAGGGGCATTGCCAACAAAACATGCTCAAGAGTATATTATTCAGATATGATATGCAAGTTGTAGTTATATATGCTGCTTATATGTATTAGACATAACATCATAGTCATTCAGGTATTGTTTTAAATAGTCATGCTGTATGGTGAAACCAAATCAGGTCCCCTTTTTTGTTTTTTTTTGTTCAAAAATAGAGGAACTTTATGTGGTTCTTATGAGTTACCAATGAGTATATGTCAATACCACTTTGAAAATTTACTGATTAACACAGTCATACTTAATTTACTTGGTGTTTCATTGTTAAGAGTTGTTAGGTATAGCCCAATGTTTGATGATTGTGGGCTGTGTGAATCACTGTGTATCTATTTTCTGTGTATTTCCATCATCAGTCCACCCTTCTTCTTTAAACATTTTGCAATATCACCAATTCTTGGATTTTAGTAAGGAAAGTGAGTTATCACAATTTCCTACTCATCATTTAAAAAAAAAAAAAATACTGGATGAATCTTTCTCGGATTTCATATGTTGGTTTCCCATGGTCCCTAGTTGTTTGTTTTATATTTTGGGACTTGTCAGCAAAACAAAATGGCTAACCAATGGCCATCTTTACTTTGCCAGTAAAAGATTATTATTGCTATTTCTTAAGAAGAACTCACAAATTTCATATCATAAAGAGGAAATAAGAAAGTAGAGAAAAGAAGGAAGAAGACAGACTAATGGTGGGTACCAGGATCTCTTGTTATTCTCTTACTTCTTTACTATATGGTAAAATGTTGCTTTGGACTGAGAATGGAGCTTACCAATTTTTGGTCATCATACTACCTTCTATATATATATATTTATATATGTGTAATTGTATTTCTTCTTTTAAAAATATATATGTAAAAGTCAACATATACATATCACATGTATCTTTTTGTTGTTATATATATATCTTAAGGATGTAAAAGGGATTTTTTTCTTTAACTTAAATCGTAAATTGAGGTATGTCTGTATGAACAATGTATTGATATATTCACATTACCATACAAATTGTATCCCTATATAAACATGTATATAATTCCAAAATAGAAACACTTTGTCTATAATTTATATAAAACTACAAAACATTAACATGCCAAATGAAGTTCAAAATGGCTATGTAACCTGAAGATGGCTACTAGGCCTGAAAACACTATTGATTTGGAACTTCATTTGTCCATATTTATACACAAAAAGAACACCCTATCTATACGGTGACCTGACAACATAAACACTGTCTTGATATTGTCACCTGACAACACAAACACTGTATCTATGTTGTCAACTGACAACACAAACGCTATCTATATGGTGACCTGACAACATAAATACTGTGTCTACAGTCAACTGATAACATAAACACTGTGTCTACAGTCACCTGACAACATAAACACTGGGCCTACAGTCACCTGACAACATAAACACTGTGTCTACAGTCAACTGACAACATAAACACTGTGTCTACAGTCACCTGACAACATAAACACTGGGCCTACAGTCACCTGACAACATAAACACTGTGTCTACAGTCACCTGACAACATAAACACTGTGTCTACAGTCAACTGACAACATAAACACTATCTATATCGTCACCTGACAACATAAACACTGTGTCTACAGTCAACTGACAACATAAACACCGTGCCTACAGTCACCTGACAACACAAACACTATCTATATTGTCACCAGACAACACAAACACTGTGCCTACAGTCACCTGAAAACATAAACACTGTGCCTCAGTCACCTGACAACATATACACTGTGTCTACAGTCAACTGTCAACATAAACACTGGGCCTACAGTCACCTGACAACATAAACACTGTGTCTACAGTCAACTGACAACATAAACACTGGGCCTACAGTCACCTGACAACACAAACACTATCTATATTGTCACCTGACAACATAAACACCGTGCCTACAGTCACCTGACAACATAAACACTGTGTCTACAGTCACCTGACAACATAAACACTGTGTCTACAGTCAACTGACAACATAAACACTGGGTCTACAGTCACCTGACAACATAAACACTGTGTCTACAGTCAACTGACAACATAAACACTGGGCCTACAGTCACCTGACAACATAAACACTGTGTCTACAGTCAACTGACAACATAAACACTGGGCCTACATTCAACTGACAACATTAACACTGTGCCTACAGTCACCTGACAACATAAACACTGTGCCTACAGTCAACTGACAACATAAACACTGTGCCTACAGTCACCTGACAACATAAACACTGTGCCTACAGTCACCTGACAACATAAACACTGTGCCTACAGTCACCTGACAACATAAACACTGTGCCTACAGTCACCAGACAACATAAACACTGTGCCTACAGTCACCAAACAACATACACACTGTGCCTACAGTTAACTGACAACACAAACACTATCTATATGGTGACCTGACAACATAAATACTGTGTCTACAGTCAACTGACAACATAAACACTGTGTCTACAGTCACCTGACAACATAAACACTGTGTCTACAGTCAACTGACAACATCAACACTGGGCCTACAGTCAACTGACAACATAAACACTGTGCCTACAGTCACCTGACTACATAAACACTGTGCCTACAGTCAACTGACAACATAAACACTGTGCCTACAGTCACCTGACAACATAAACACTGTGCCTACAGTCACCTGACAACATAAACACTGTGCCTACAGTCACCTGACAACATAAACACTGTGTCTACAGTCAACTGACAACATAAACACTGGGCCTACAGTCACCTGACAACATAAACACTGTGTCTACAGTCAACTGACAACATAAACACTGGGCCTACATTCAACTGACAACATTAACACTGTGCCTACAGTCACCTGACAACATAAACACTGTGCCTACAGTCAACTGACAACATAAACACTGTGCCTACAGTCACCTGACAACATAAACACTGTGCCTACAGTCACCTGACAACATAAACACTGTGCCTACAGTCACCTGACAACATAAACACTGTGCCTACAGTCACCAGACAACATAAACACTGTGCCTACAGTCACTAGACAACATACACACTGTGCCTACAGTTAACTGACAACACAAACACTATCTATATGGTGACCTGACAACATAAATACTGTGTCTACAGTCAACTGACAACATAAACACTGTGTCTACAGTCACCTGACAACATAAACACTGGGCCTACAGTCACCTGACAACATAAACACTGTGTCTACAGTCACCTGACAACATAAACACTGTGTCTACAGTCAACTGACAACATAAACACTGGGCCTACAGTCACCTGACAACATAAACACTGTGTCTACAGTCACCTGACAACATAAACACTGTGTCTACAGTCAACTGACAACACAAACATTATCTATATTGTCACCAGACAACACAAACACTGTGCCTACAGTCACCTGAAAACATAAACACTGTGCCTCAGTCACCTGACAACATAAACACTGTGTCTACAGTCAACTGACAACATAAACACTGGGCCTTCAGTCACCTGACAACATAAACACTGTGTCTACAGTCAACTGACAACATAAACACTGGGCCTACAGTCACCTGACAACACAAACACTATCTATATTGTCACCTGACAACATAAGCACCGTGCCTACAGTCACCTGACAACATAAACACTGTGTCTACAGTCACCTGACAACATAAACACTGTGTCTACAGTCAACTGACAACATAAACACTGGGTCTACAGTCACCTGACAACATAAACACTGTGTCTACAGTCAACTGACAACATAAACACTGGGCCTACACTCATCTGACAACATAAACACTGTGTCTACAGTCAACTGACAACATAAACACTGGGCCTACAGTCAACTGACAACATTAACACTGTGCCTACAGTCACCTGACAACATAAACACTGTGCCTACAGTCAACTGACAACATAAACACTGTGCCTACAGTCACCTGACAACATAAACACTGTGCCTACAGTCACCTGACAACATAAACACTGTGCCTACAGTCACCTGACAACATAAACACTGTGCCTACAGTCACCAGACAACATAAACACTGTGCCTACAGTCACCTGACAACATAAACACTGTGCCTACAGTCACCAGACAACATAAACACTGTGCCTACAGTCACCAGACAACATACACACTGTGCCTACAGTTAACTGACAACACAAACACTATCTATATTGTCACCAGACAACATAAACACTGTGCCTACAGTTAACTGACAACACAAATGCTCTATCCTCACCAGACAACACAAGCACTTTATCTACTTTGTCACGCTGC